CGTATTTTCAGAATGCGCCAATGCAGCACGTGCAAGTGCAAGTTGACTTTCGAGTGCGGATATTGATTTCTCATATTCTTCAATCACAGGTTCGACGGCTTCCTGAAAACTTTGCGAAATATTTTCTTCTTTTATAGGTTTCATTGATAGTTTTGATTTAGTTCCATTTTGCTGCACCCTATCAGATGTTGTTTTTGTGCCAAGCTCATCCGAATTATCTTGATGTAAGGCAAGTTCAGCGGAAGTTTTCGCATATTTCTGAGATAATTCTATGTATGATCGTTGAAGTTGAGAAAGTTGCTCTTCAAGTACTTCAACGTCTTTATGGTTTGGATTAGCATTACCCACAGCCATATTTATTGAAAGTGGAGTTGAAGGACGCCGTAAATGACTTTGATGAATCGGAGTTTCTCGTCCACTTATTAAGCCCAAAGGAGTAGATCTTCCAGATCCAGACGTACTATTACCACCATAACTTCCATTTATCGAAGTTAAACCACCTGTGGAAACCAAAGCACCAGCAGCTTTGAGAGCTTTGATTTCATTTCTTAATTTAATAACTAAACTTTGTAAATGTTCTAGATCATTCCAACCAGCCTCTTCTTGATTTATAACAGCCGAATTTTTAATATTACGAGCTCTGTTTGCATATTTAAGAGTATTAACAGTTTCATTAAGATTGAATTCCGCCCCTGAAACACAAGCAATCATTAATGTTTGAGCATTTCCACCAAGAGAATCCTGTAATAAACGTGTTAGTTTTGAATCTCGGTACGGAATATGTGTTGTGTGTTTAGCTTTGTTAGGGTCACCGAGAGCAGAAATAACGTTCCCTAATGCTAAAAGACCAGAATTTATAGATATTCCTTCTTTAGCACGATCCCCAACAGTTCCAGTTCTTTTTAGCTATATAGTTTCACGTAAAGTAATTGTAATTAGTAAATTAAATTAATAAATATAAAGCATAATAACCACAATAACCACTAAATGAACAATACGTACTCTCTCACTACCAGCCAAATCCACGAAATGGAATTTACTAGTAACAGCAATCCATTCACCACTACCATCATCGGATCTTTTACTCAATCTAGAACTCGATCGTGATGGAGGTCTAATTCCAGATTTCGAATCAGGTATCTCTGGTACAGGCGTATTTGACCTACTACCATTTCCAGCAGTCGACACAATTTTATGTTGAATCATCGTTACGGAGAATATCGCATGTGATCTAGAAGATTTCTGGTTCATATCAGTGGCACCAACTTGACGATTCAACGAACCTCGTGACAAATGTCTGATAAATAAGAAAAAAGAAATATTTATTATTTTGAAATTCATTAATTAGGGATATCCGAAAATTATTTAACTACCCCATAACTTCATCGACCGAATTGACTTTAATTTCTTGTAATCCACTCCATAAAATATGCCCTTTAGAATCTTCTCTTATCATAACTTGAGGTCTACTTTCTTCATCACCTTCACCCAGTAGATCAATTAAATCTTCATTATAAATTTCAATAAATGAAACCTTAATCTGAAATTTACGAGATTTATATTGTGGGGAAGTTAGAATTTCAAATAAGGATTGCATTGCCCGAGGAATTATTCCTTTTTGGTCAATAGGGACTACGGTTGAATCTGATGTGCCCATTGTATAAGTTTTTCCAGAAGAAGTTTGACCATATGCTAAGATTGTTACATTGTATCCTGTGTAGAATTAAAGGAAATAGATAAATAAATGATTATGTATTTATAATATAATGTAATTAATGCTAAGTATATATCATGTGAATTAATGCTAAGTAAAAAGAAATAAATTTCTTTTCACGAGTATATATGATAAATATTTCTCATATTATATTACATAAGAATCCATACATACCTTCTATAAATTTATCAATCAATTTAAAAACAGCTCTTTCATAAATCTCATTCTGTGAAGTTTCAGGACCAAATACATGATCAAAAGTAAAGAATTGTTTCTTTTCTCCAGCTACAACAACCTGGTTTGGAGTATGTGGTGGTGTAGATAAGACCTGTCGTTGAAACCTTGTGGGTAATGTTGCCAGATCTTCATCCGTTAATGGTCGTATTCGTAAGGCTATTGATGCAAGAATTGTAATTGTAATTAGTGATGAAATATAAATGCAGTCATATGAAATAGATTAATGCCATGCCGAAATTAATTTTATTGCTAATGATGTAATGGACAACAAAGTCAAATTATTTCGCAAATCTTATTATTGTTCTTATTGTCATTATTACGATTGTTGCTGATCATTTAAGGTCTTATATTCGAATCATATCTTTTTTTTTTTTTTGAAATTTACATTCATATCTTTTTTTACATTTAAACTTTTTTTTCACTTTTTTTTTTTTTTTCCTAACTAGTTATCTTAATAAATTTTTTCTTTTTTGAATTGATTATAATCATATAATCATATCTTACGGACCTACTTGTACCGAAGTCCTTTCAGAACTTGCACCGGCCGATGCCATTATTATAGTTTACAACAAAAAAGAGAAGCAAATAAAAATAACAGTTTACAGAATCCTTTTATCTACGTATAATAAAATTACTAAATGGAATTAACAATGGATGCTTGTTTTCTTATATTAGCAAATTCAGCGAGCAAAAAAAGCTAAACGTTGATGTTTCGTTTTGCGTATGGATTGTATGATAAAATTCTTCTTAATGTATGTTTTTTAAATTTATTATAATAAATAAATAT